TCATTACATATAACTGAGTTTGGAGCATCATACAATTACTGAAATTATAGTTGTAAGTTAACTTTGTAAGTAATTAGACATTTTATTCAGGGCATGCAAATTCAAGAAGCTTTTGGTACAAGTCAAAAGCCTCAGCTGCATCATTTGGAAGATAAAGACCTTCATTTTCAATTACATAATTGAAATATTCTCTGTAGTTTTCTGATGTTTCAGATTCCAGATACAAATTTGCAGGTATTTGTTGTTCCATTTCGTCAATCTTTTGAATACTAACCATGTGCTTACAATCATCTGCAGCAAACTGCTGTGGTAAATAGAACATAACATCTGGAATGCCATTGACAGTACCATAATTTCTTGTATGACGAATGCAATGTGTATTCCAATGTGAAAGAATGGGCTGAAAACAAAACAAAAGGCACTCCATATGCATAACATTTCCAAGTTCTAAAGTACCATATGCTACCATATCTTTAAAGAAATCAATCCACCACCCTGCTCTTGCTCTTCGAAAGTGAGACCACCAGCTTTCAATTCTTTGATTTGCTGGAGATGTGCCATATATGTGTGGATTGGAACCAGCACATTGATAATTTCCATTCTCTCGAAAATAGCAATGCATACCAGCAAGTGTTTCATTCTCAGTCCCACAATCACTTCTTACAATAAGAGGACAACCCTCATTCTTGACTGTGTTAAGATATAGTTGTGCATGAACTTCAGGCCTGTCGTTGGTCTAGGCAAGACGTAAAAAACGACGTTTTCCCGCTGTAAACAGAACAAAGACGAAAACCCATCATGGGTCTTTAAATATTCATTTCTTTTCAATGACCCATTGTATTGATAGCCGTCGTCGTCGCGTTCAATATACCTTACGGAAATCGCCGATCAATTAGAAAACGCTGACATTCGTTGATAAACGGGCTCTCAGATAAAATGAATGAAGGTATATTTTACTAATAGCCTGTTGTTACATTGTTTACGCTTTGCCAGCTATGGATTTAACGAAGCGTTCGCAGCGTTTGCATGCGTAATTAAGTGCGACACGTGATGGAAATATGTGGTCATATGTCACAACTATTTGTAAATATGTATATATTTTCGGACAACCTTTCCTAGATCCACTATATATATATATATATATATATATATATATATATATATATATGAAATATATATATGAAATATATATATATATATATATATTTCATATCAATATGAAAAGGAAACTGAACTGTCTAAATATATATGGCAACTTAAGTTTAAGGAAGTAGACTTTTCCATCCACTGGTCAATTCTTAATCAATCAACACCCTATGCTCCCGGTAACTCACGTTGCAATCTTTGTCACTACAAAAGAAATGGTCAGGTACAAGTACTGCAGATGTAAAGTAAAGTATTTCTACCAAAGTTACAAAGCACTTATTACAGCAAACGTGTGTATTCTATGAATTACCGTCGATATGCCAACAGAAGTTGGGTCCAAAATTAAGGTAACGCCTCCTTGATAACTGCCTTCTTCTTTGCTCCACTCCATCTGGATTTACCTCTTTCATAATTTGAGCAACTGCTCTACGTGGTACATGGATATGGTGTTTAAGTCGAAGTAAGTGCCACATTGACCTGTAACCCAAAGATGCGCCAGACCCATTTGAGATTTTGCATTCAATTATCACTCTCGTTCTTTCAAACATTTGCTATGTTAAATTACCATTTCTTTTTAAATGGAAATCATGCAACATTCGCTTAAGGGTGCGTATAGAAATCTCAATATTATGGTAAGCTGACAGAAACTGCTGAATTACTGTATTTGAATATCCAAGATTAAAATAGTGTTCTATGATCTCTCTCAAAGCGTCACCCATGTTATAACTTGTAGACTGCTTGTAGCGAGTTACTTTATGTGACCACTATTATAGTGTATCACAAATGATTGGCCATATAGATGTTTGGCTAGATTCTAGAAGACTAAACTTTAATATAACATTTAGGCAACATATGTAGAGCCGAAATCTATTTCGAACTTTTGCTTGGAACTGTTGTTATATAGCAACAGAGGCATAGCCCTCAGGCCCTTTTGGCCTCTTCCTACCTATAAAAAGAGTTCAACCTTCCTCCTGTTTTGAAAACCTTCCTAAAACGTCACCGAACAAAAGAACAAAAGAAATATTTGTTTTTGGGTGTTCACTTTGAACCTTCCTCACAAACCTCACTCAAAGCAAACCTTCCTAATGTGTGGTACCTGCGTACGCAGTTTTTTTTGCAACTCTGGGCTAAAGAAGCCTAGGGAGGTGTACGGATGTATAAGGACCACATTAGCACAATGAGTGGTTAATTTATATGTCAATTCGTAACCTTTTCCAGACTATATTTGATCGTTCGATAATTTTCCAGGAGTTTGTAACAAATATTGTAACAAATTTGCTAGGAAATATTGCCCAAAAGGTGGTAGTAGTAACGGAAGGATTCGCTTTCAACACGGCGTTGTGACTATTTTTACTTGCGTTGTGACTATTTGTACTTGCGTTGTGACTATTTTTACTTGCATTGTGACTATTTGTATTTGCGTTGTGACTAATTGTACTTACCTTGTGACTATTTTTACTTGCGTTGTGACTATTTGTATTTGTGTTGTGACTATTTGTTTGCGTTGTGACTATTTTTACTTGCGTTGTGACTATTTTTACTTGCGTTGTGACTATTTGTATTTGCGTTGTGACTATTTGTTTGCCTTGTGTGTATAATTGTTCGCGTGCATTTAATAATGATGCGTTGATTTATTGCTATTTATGCTATGGCCCTTTTGGGCCACCATACTCATAGGCCTTTAATAACCGCTGGTAAAATACCTTTAACACCTGTAAAGTTTGAAGAATTTATTAAAATAAAATTGATAAATTTAATCAAATACCTAAGGCGTTTTTACAAATTTTAATTACACTATGTGACTCATTGTATGCTAAAAAGTTATTTTCTGAGGAGATAAATGTGGGTCAGTTACATTCCTGGTGGTACATTATGAGCAGTTGCAATGAAATATTTAAAGTTAATTGAAATTCAACACACCTTTACATTTATTTATGATTGCATGGAAAATGATCTTTCCAATCATTTCATAGAAATTGACCAGAAACTAGATCAACTGGTAGCAGATTTCCCACCTCGCCTTCAAACAACTTAATGCTATTAAATGTTGAGTTCCCAATTTCATTTATGAGTGTGTTAAAGAAATCTCTGGTTGGAGCACCTGCATCAATGCCTAGTAATTGTCTGGGAGGGGAAAAATTTTACATGTGATTTTGTTATGCCTCTTTTATCACTAATTGATAGTGTAAATAATTATGTGCGAATGGAGGTTGTGAATGTCTATTAGATGATGAATTTTATTTTAGTCTTTACACACATCTTGAAATAGAACATTTTAAAACTGTTGCTGATCATACTGCAAAAACCAAGGTTGAATTAAATTTCTTTTAGTCAGATTCTTTAAAGTATTTGTTAGGATTGAAAAAACAACAAAAAGTATCACTTAAAAAAAAGTTTTAGTGAATTATATAATTCTTCTTCAACTGAATTTATTGAGGGTTATTTTATCTCAGAGTTATTATGTGTTGTGCCGATTGAAACTGATGAAGGAGAAGTGAAGGGGATTCTGTGTCCTATACACCTCCGTCATTAGAGCAGAGATTAAAAAAATATTAATTCCTTGCATTTGACCCTTAAGGATTCAAGGAAAACATATACCTTTTCATTTCGGAAATGTTAATATTCAAGCTCTAGTTAGCTTGCTAGAAAAAAATTTTATTGTTGCAAAAGAATATGACAATGCACTTGAGAATTATAGTGGAAAAAATGTGAAGGAAAATTTTATAATTTCATACTGTTGCATGATTGATCTTAATGATGAAGATTTGAATAATGCTGATTCACCTTGGGCTAGTGACAATAATGCAATGGGGTGAAAGGGAATAGATTATCGCGATTATCTATCAATGACTCCATCATTGAAACCCACATTACGTTCATGCAAGTATAATTATAGTTGTTTAGTAAATATTTAATATATACATATTTATGTGCCTCATTACAACAGAAGAGAGGAAGATGGTTTTTCAGCTGCTAAGAGCATAGGTAGCCCAACACTTGTGTTCTGCGCGCGTACACGCTACTCAGTGATTAGCATATATTAATTTATCCTAAGGTGGGCAACTTTATCACCAATTATCAATAATATATCACATACATACATGTCAAAACTTCGATAAAAACTGAAAAACTACCCCAAAATACTGCAAAATTAATAAATATAAATGTACTTGGATATATTTTCTAAATTCTGACATAATTTTTAGCTTCAAAATATATTGGGAAATATTGCTCCATGAGAGAGCAGCATTTCTGTACACTGCTTAACACGTTGGCAAACTTGCTTGCAAGACTTCGCGGAGCGCTAGTTCAAGTTATCAGCAAACAGTGTCAATATTTTTGACTTTTCGCATGCCTAGCTACCAAAGCCACCATTTAAATCAACATAATTTCAACGAAAAATCCAGAATACAAAAATAAAAATATACAAAAAGGTTCTCTAAAACATGCTTTCATCCGGGCAATGTCATGTCACTTTCTCCCGGAACCCGGGCTCCGGTACTAGTTACTTAGTGCCTGTATAGTCCAATTATATACCGGAACTCAACAAAACAAAGAAAGAAAGGTCCTGTCCCAAAAAACTGTACATGTAAATAATAATGTCAAGGAAAAGTCAGCTAGTCTGAACATTCTCCCCCCGTGATCGCTCATTATCGTAAGGACGATCACTCTTCGAGTGCTGCTAGCTTTGCTGTAGGTCTTCTGAACACTCCAAACTTGGTTTTCACATCCGCACTTCTTACTACCTTGTCTGAACCAGGATAGACTTTAATAATTCTTCCCAACGGCCAAGTACCACGCGGAGAGGAATAGTCCACTACAATAACCAAATCGCCAATCTTAAGATTTGGCACCTATTGAGTCCACTTCATCCTTTGAACTAGACCAGGCAAGTATTCTCTTAACCATCGTCCCCATGAATGATTTGTTACAACTTGCGATTGTCTCCAACGCTTTCGACCCGAAATCTCCTTGTCAACAAACACTGCAGGTGGTAAATTCAAACTAGAACGACCAAGAAGAAACTGATTCGGCGTAATTGCTTCCATCGCTTCAACATCCGAACTAACTTCAGTCAAGGGTCTGCTGTTCACCAACGATTCTACCTCGGCCATTGCAGTTGCCAACACTTCATCAGTCAATACTTGATTCTTTAAGACTGCTTTAAAGGTTCTCTTACAAGAACGCACTAGTCTCTCCCATGCTCCTCCCATATGTGGGGAAGCTGGAGGGTTAAACACCCATTTAACACCTTTCTGACTCAATTCTTTAGCGATTCGTCCTTGATTCAAATTCTCTACACACTCTTTGAGCTCCCGATTTGCCCCTACGAAGTTTGTTCCATTGTCTGAATATATAACTTGTGGGTTTCCTCTCCAAGCTGCAAACTTTCGCAGACACATGATGAAAGAGTCCGTCTCAAGAGAGAACGCCACCTCTAAGTGAACTGCCCGCGTTACAAGACAAGTAAAGAGGCAAATGTAACGCTTTAGACGCTTTCTTCCATACTTTACTTCCAGCGGACTAAAGTAATCCATGCCAACTTTGGTAAAGGGAGGACTAACCAACAAATGATCACGCGGTAATTCAGCTATTTTTGGAGGTTGTGGTACAATTCGCCGCAATTTGCACAACCAGCAACCGTAAAGAATCTTCTTCACCGTGGCTTTACAACAAAGAATCCAATACTTCTGTCGCAACTCGTTTCTCACGTTGTCCACTCCAGCGTGACCAAGTTCTCTGTGAGTATCCAATACAATCAATTTGGTCAGATGGCCAATCGAATCCAAAACAATCGGATGACGCGTAACGAAGGGTAAAGCCGCCTTCCCAATGCGACCACCAACGCATACTATTCGATCTTCGTCCATGAAAGGTGCTAAGGACACCAACTTGCTTTGTCTTTCGACAGGACGTCCATGTTTAAGGGCCTTGACTTCAGACTGGAATGACTTCGTTTGTTCTTGACGAATCAACTGTTTCCTTGCATGTTCAAGTTCTTCGACTGATGGATTACCGAATACTCTCTCGGATTCTCGCACTTTATGATTACGAAGAAAACATTTAACGTAAGCCATAACAGTCAACGCGCGAAGGTATGAAAAATATCGGGTAATATCAACAAGTTCCACTTGTGCAGGTTCACTCTGCGCTGTGGTTTTGCCTGCAAAATTATTATCACTTTCTTGACCATCGTCGGAAGGCGTTTCTTCGACCATCTTGACTGTGACGTTGTGGGGCCATTCTTTTTCATCAGCCAGCAGAAATTCAGGTCCATTAAGCCAACGAGAACTTGTTGTGAGGGATGAAACTGGACGTCCACGTGTACCGTCATCTGCTGGGTTTAACTTAGTTGGGCAATAATGCCACTGGTTAACTTCTGTTGCGTCCAGAATCTCGCTTATCCGATTTGCGATGAATGATGGGTGTCGTGTTGAAGTTCCACGAATCCAGTGAAGGACTGTTGTACTGTCCAACCAAAAGTGCACCGCACTAAACGTACTAAACGTGTAGTCATGTTCCTTAATAATCACGCTTGCCACTCTCACACATAGGACGGCTGCTTGCAACTCGAGTCTTGGTATGCTTAACTTCTTTGTCGGTGCTACGCGGGTTTTCGCCGTCACAAACACACACTTCATTGTCCCATCTTGGTACTTGAACCGAAGATAACCCACAGAACAAAACGCTAACTCACTAGCATTTCCAAAGAGGTGAAAACTCTGGATGTACTTCAACTTGCTGATAAAATCTTGGGACTGAAAATTGCTCCAGCATCAGGTTTACCAAATCGAGATTTCAACTCAGACCATGCTTTCTCATAGGAATCACCGCCGTATCCATACCCTTCTATTGCTGTCTTCGCTTTGCCAGCCACCGAATTCTGCAGATGTTGCATTTTGGCGTTTAAGGATATGTTGCAATCATCAACCATAGACTTGAACATAGAAGCCCAGTCAGGCCACTTTAGTGGGTCCCCCTCAAAACTGGATAATTTCAATCTTGGAAGATTTTTATACCCTGGTACACCTGGAGCACCATTGTCGATTGATGGTGATTGTCTAACTTGACTAACTGGTGTCTTATCATGATCTTCTATATCCACAACATGCACTGATCAGGTATTTTCAGCGATATTCTTCATAGAACTTGGCTGAGGTAACACGGTAGGTTGTTCAACATCAGGTGACTCACCTTCAAAAGTCACATAGTCTATTTGACAGACTTTCCGGGTTATCATCTTCTCTCTCCAGTATCTCAGCTTCTGCTCTCAGTTGTTTCCATGCATCTGTTTCCTCTTGAACCTTTCGTCTTTCATCAACTTCGAGCTTTGCTCTTTCTGCTCTTTCTTTAGCTATAGCTAAGTTTTTCTCAAGTGTTGTTCTAGCTCTTGTTTTCTTTTCTCTTGCTCTTCAATTAATTGCTTAGCCTTTAATTCAGCAGCAAATGCTTTAGCACGCACTTCTACACCCTTCTCACTTGCTTTTGAACTGTGTGTCACTACAGACTTTGAATACAAGTATGGTAATTGAGAAGGTGTTACTTGCATACCAGGAAAAGTACCTGCAACTGAAGGTACTTCATGTAAGCATCCCTCAAGATGGTTTTCAGCCAGCAATTTGGCATCCTTGACTCTTTCTAGCTGTTCTTCATACTAATTTAAGACTACTTCATGCTCACTTTCATGCACCAGCGCAAGGAGCCCATTATTGAGTAACTCTGCTTCTTTCAAATACTCAGATAAGTTATTTACACACCCTTTTATCATCGTTCTACTACCAGATTTCGATACAAATTCGTCCAATTTGCGTAACGTTGTAGTAATTCGTCTTTTAACAACCGATCTTTTACTTCAAATACATGTTTGCGAGTCCCCAGTAGCCTGCCCCATGGCAATGCCACTAACATTGTCTTCATCACCCATGTTTATAATAATGCGAAGTGGGAGGAAATTAGTACAAAAAAACACAACCAAAAACCATTTAAAATCAACATAATTTCAACGAAAAATCCGGAATACAAAAATAAAAGTATACAAAAAGGTTCTCTAAAACATGCTTTCATCCGGGCAATGTCATGTCACTTTCTCCCGGAACCCGGGCTCCGGTACTAGTTACTTAGTGCCTGTATAGTCCAATTATATACCGGAACTCAACAAAACAAAGAAAGAAAGGTCCTGTCCCAAAAAACTGTAAATGTAAATAATAATGTCAAGGAAAATTCAGCTGGTCTGAACAATAAAGTTTTTAGGTCTATAGGTAATAGACTATCAAAACAGTTGTTCACCCAACAAAACAATGTTGCAATAATAACAATTAAAGCATTTAACTATGGTAATAAACAATCGTTGAATACTCTTAAAACACCAGCTATTAATCAACTGTTCACCCAACAAAATAATGCTAACAATAATAACATAACACTTTATAACTATTGAGGAACTTCGTATTTTTAAAGTTTGGATATATCTAGACTATCATTGTGCTTTTTGAAACTTTATATTACAAGAAGGAAAAGATAAGAAAGCATCAGTGGTTGGATCATACAATGATAAAGCTTTCACAATCATATTGTGGTTGAAACTTGAATTAACTGTTTTAGTGCCAGTTTCAACAAATGCTTTTAAAAACCACAGCTAAGTGCAACGATTGACTTTTTGTTTTAAGTTGCATTTCACATTGCTACAGGTACTAATATTCTCATTTTCATTGATCACTATGATTTTGCTGCATTTGACACAACAATAATTCACTCTGGTTTGACTGATTCCAATGACTTCTCCTTCACTAATAAATTCTTCAGGGGTATGATCAGGGACTGCCAGTTTTTCTTGAAATGGTTTGCCTTCACATATGGTAGAATTATGTTGTGCTGGGTTGACATGTTTCTTGGGTGAATTTGTCCTGCTTTACTCTTAAATTCTGAAATTGATACGTGGAGTCCTCTTTCACTTTGTCAATATCATCTCCCCAAAGGACAATCTTAAAAGAACCATAAGGATCAATTAGCATGCCACTTGCTTTCCGAAGGACACCATCTACTTCACTGCTACTTCAGGTTGAATGTTCACATTTTTTGCTTTAAAGGTAATAAGTTGCTGTGAAGAAACCGTATTTATTGAAGCTAGATTAATATTAGATGGTATCCAGGGCCTATTCTAAGAAAATTTCAATACTGCACACTTGGGTCATCAGTGATGTCCATGACGTCACCCAGTGACGTCATCTTGTGACGTCATCTTTGAATTGTTAGGCTTTTATATGGACGTAATGATAACATGCAGGGTGTCTCAAAGAAGTAAACCTTTCAAATTGAAATCAACCATAACCCATTGTAGTAATGCACTGATGCGACACGAATGAGTAAAGCGCGGGCAAATTACCACAATGAATTACGGCTAACTGAAATTTGAAAGGATGTACCTTTTGACACCCTGTGGAATGGCAACATGAAATATGACAACATCTACCTGACTGTAAATTGTTTTAATAACACAACAAATATTTATGACAATTGTTTAAAATTTTCTTTGTGAGAGTTCATTTTTTTTGACACAGACATTTTTTGTTTTTTCTTTCATCTTTTCTGATGCTTCACTGAAGGTTTTCAGAAACCATTCTTGTTCTTTAGCCTTTTTTGGTTCCACAGATCGGTGCGAACGTTGCTTCCACCAGTATTCTACTGCCAGCCTTGGGTTAAACTCGGCTAAAACTGGCATATTCAGGTTAACGTACAGATAATGCAAAACAGTTTCATTTGATAGGCAGGAACGATCAGATGTCTTGAGCTTGTTATACAAGCTAATCAGCCTTTCTACATCAGCCGAATGTGGTGTACAGGCTGCAATCCTTGCGAAAACAACTGCTAAGCTACCATAGTCACTTTGAGCCTGCGCAAGTATTTCAACTTTCTGCAGTAAGGACAATGATTTTGATCCAAGTAGTCGAACCGCATCACGATACTCTTCAGAAATATTCGCCAATCGTAGGTCACAAGCAATTTTCTGATGCACCATCACAACATCATCATCTTTTGCTTGAAATGAAATAAAGCACTTCAGCAACTTTTGCAGGTCCTCATCAAATGAAAGCCTTTGAGCCAAAAATGTCTTAAGAGACTCTAAGATTTCGGATCGTACTGTTATGAAATTGCGTGTAGTTTCACTGACATACAGGTGATGCTCTTTTCTTCGGCTTTCTCTCGCGCTCTTAAGCTTGATATCCATAAAAAGGTTGTCTTCTGGTTGATACTGTTTTTGAAACTCCATTTCCCAGCCTCCAAGGACTGGTGAATGCTGTAGATCATCAAACTGTCGCATCACATCTGACTTCCAGTCAGGCAAATCAGTAATGTTAAAGTTTTCCAACTGAATCTTCTTGTGGTATCTCGAAAACACGAATAGCAAATCAGCTACAAAAACCAACAGCTTCAAATTTTCCAATCTAGTCAAAAATGCGTGATGTCCTTGTGCAGCTGCATCATGCATATTTCCAAAATATGTTACCAGTGCTCTCCAAGAGGCCAATATGGAATCCAAAAGAGACGAATTAAACTCACTCCAGCGTACCTCAAAAAGTTTTGGCAGTTCATGAAGCTGAAATCCATTTGCTTTTGCCACATCACGAAGTTCTCTAGATCGAATTCCTGATGAATGGAAATAGGATGCGATTGCAACCATTGTAGAGAAAAGGAACTTCACCTCTGCAACATTATTCGATACTGCTTTCCATGCAAGATCAGTTCGATCGGCAATACACCAAACTTTTAACAATGGCAAACCATACTCTTCATGCTCCGACGTTAGGGATGCCCAAAGACTAGTTTTATCTCCTGTGTTCAAACTTGTCCCGTCTGTTACAATAGATGTCATTTTACTTGCTACATCAGACCAACTTGATGTTAGACTAACTGCATCCTTTACAGCCTGAACGTACCCTGGTGTTCCTCTTGATTTCAGTTCATTAAGACCCAAAAACAGAGCCCCTGGCTTGCCATCTTGATCTATAATCTTTGCAAGAACATGACAGTTGTCGATTCTTCTCCTATCAACTGAAGAATCACATCTTAATGATAGCGCTAAGCTGTTCTTTAGTTTTGTTTTGATTCTGGTTTTGTCAGCAAGAACATTCTTGTGCTGAGTAGGTGTGACATATTGCAATGTAGAATTCGAAGGGTGAAATATCTCAAAATCTTGTGTTACATCAACTGCATCTGACATCATATTTGCAACTTCTCTTGAAGGCCAGCTCCACGCTGAAAGGGTGAGCTTTTTCGCATCGTTAAACACGTTGATCATTAACCTGGCCACTTTATTCTTTAACTGAGCATTCGATTTGTTTATCACGCTACCCAATTGCATTTTTTTAACTTTTTCTGATGAACTAAAGAGAGATATTTTTTCAGCTTCAACAGCTTTTTTGTGCATTTCACTTTTCAGGTGACCAATGAGGATCACTTTCCGTGGGATGGTTCCTTCCAGAGTGCATATCGCTGGAATTCTCTTCGAGTTCCTAAACGCTTTAGTTGTTGCCTTTTGCTTTTGACATAAATTGCATAGAACGTAGTTCCTCCCCTTTGAGTCTCTCTTAAAGTATTCGAAACATGAGTCCTTGATGATTTCGTCTTCATTTGAAGAACTTGA